CCACGACTAAACCTGCTACCACCTCCGTTGTCACCACCACTATGGGTAAGATTTTTTCTTTTCTTTTCTCCTGTCTTTTTTTATCTTTTTTTTTTAGTTTTTGCTTTTTATTTTTTGAATGTTTTTCTCCCTGTTTTTCATACTTCTCTCCTCACCTTCTTCTCTGTAACATCTCTTCTTTATAGTTCTTTTTCTTTTCTCTCTCCCTTTCTGTTTCCTGTATTTCTCCTCTGCCCCTGCATATGTCATTTTGTATATCTTATTTTATGACCCTCCCCCTTCTCTCTTTTTTCCATTTCAATTTTCCTTTTATTTTGGCAAAGTTCTAGTGTTTTGTTTTTACTTTTTCAATCTTTATGTCTTCCGTGGTAATTTGTTAACATTTTTCTTCGCTTCCTCCTGCTTCTATTCTAGTATACTTCATCTGCTACAGCAGGGCACAGTTTTCCTGTTCATCTTCAGACACACTTACACATACACATTCACACATACACAGAGACTCACATACCCTCACACATACTCACACCCTTGCACACTCATATTTACACACATACTCTCAAATACTCACACACACATGCCGATACACAGACACTCACAGAAACTATACACACTCACACTCACACACATAAAACACAGGCATGCTTGCTTCAATCTTTGCAGGTTATTTTTTACCTTTTTCTTGTTTATCTATTTGTCTCTCTGGGTCATCCCCTTTGTAAAAACGTTCAATGATGTCATTAAATCTCTGGCTTTTTTTTCCCTCTACAACGTTTGGTCATTGATACTTCAGTATTCAGGGTCAGTTGTTTTCTTTGGTTTTCAAGACCTGTTTGCCCCTGGCAATCACACCTGTCTTTTTTGCTTTCTTATCAATAGTTTGACTCGATTCTATCCCCTGTCACCCTGCAGTAGTGGGTCTCCCTCTCTTCCAGTGTTGTGTCTGATCTCGATGTGATGTCCTCCCTTGCACTGTCTCTCCTTGCTGTCTAATCTTGTTCTATTTTAATCTATTGCCATTTGTACTCTGTGTGAAGTGTGCAGTTCACAGTGTAAGGTATTCTTTCCAGTCGCCCTCCTACACTGACAAAGGACCTCCTATGTATTCAATAATTTACTAAATAAATGCTCAAATACATGAACTAACATTGAACATCGTAGCTGGAGCCTGTAATCGTCCACTCAGCAATCCAAAGCCAGAAAAGTGATAATTTGAGGACAGCCAGGGTTACATAGTACATACAGCCCAGTCTAGTTCTGACAATATATTACAGAGAGGGGGGAAGAGAGAGAGAGAGAGAGAGAGAGAGAGAGAGAGAGAGAGAGAGAGAGAGGCTAAAACTAAGTGAATAAATGGTTTGGGGAGATGGCTTAGTCAGTGAAGCGCCAGCTATGGAAGGAGACGGACCTGAGCCCAGATCTCCAGAACCCATGTAAATCTGAGGAGACTAGTCTTGTCTAAGGCAGACACAGGAGGATCCCCGAGGCTCACTGGCCAGCAAAGCTAGTGAGATCAGGCAGCTCCAGGGTCAGTGTGTCATGACCCAAACATAAACGGTGGAGAGCAGTTGAGAAAGACACGTGACACAACATCCGGACTACACACACACACACACACACACACACACACACACACACACACATACATATACACACACATTGCATTTAATAAATACATAAGACAATGAGAATTTGAACTATTTGAAGTTGAGCTGCACAGATCCCGGGGAGTTATGGCTGGCTGCTGCCTGTCCTACCACGTCTCTCTGTCGAGCTCTCTGTCTCTGACTAGCAGAAGTTATAAACAGTCATAACAGCCAAACATAGGCCCCCAGACTCTCCCTGGGCATGGAGGGGCAAGTTGATGCCTATTTACCCTTGGTGGACTCAGCACCGGTCAGCGGCCCGGATTCACCCCGTCTCTGTCTCTGTTTCTGATATAATGCCGTTCCTTCCCGTTGCTTTCTCTCCCACACCTGTGAGACGACCTGATGATCAATCTCTCTGGGCGCTTGGATAGGACTCTGTCTACACTGCTTCTGTCTGTGAAGCGAGGGCAATGCTGACTGTCCTGTGAACGTAGGGTCTTGTCCAAATGTCCAATTTCACAAGGTCACTGGGTGTAAACCAGACATGGTGGTACATTCCTGGCCTCTAATCCCAGGACTCGGGAGGCTGAAGCCTGTTCAAAGCCAGCCTATGCTATATAGTGAGAAACCATCTCGGAAAATTAGGGAGGCAGGGAAAAAGAAGACGATGAAAAAGGAGAGGAGTGAGGGGCAGTAGCATCCGGAACACGTCAAGTTGTGGCATGCTACCCCAATGTGTACTAGATCTTGGCTTTGTCTTTTGCAGTGATCTGCCTGAATGGAGGATCCTGGACAGGGAAGGTCTGCCTTTGCCCCAACGGCTTCTCGGGGGATCGCTGTCAGAATCCCGTTCCGATTGTCAGCTGTCAGAATGGAGGGACGTGGGACGGCCTCAAATGTCAGTGCACCAGCCTCTTCAACGGACCCCGGTGTGAGGAGGTAGTGGAGAGCATCGAGATAGGTGAGTGAAACTTCAGTCACATGACAGATGTAGGCCGGGCTCTCCCTCCCCAGTGCCCAGCATAGAAATCTCCCGCCAGCACCTGTCCTTGCCCTACGTCTCATGGCCCGTATCTTTTTAAAGATTTATTTATGTGTGTGAGCACATGGAGGGCATGTGTGTGTGTGCACGTATGCATGTGCTGCATGTGTGGGCACCCACAGAGGGCGGAAGACGGAGTCGGGCCGCCTAGAACTTGAGTTACAGGAATTATGACTGCCTGGCTGGGCTGCCGGGAACTGAACTCCAGTCTCCCACCAAAGCGATACACACTGTTGATCTCAGATCTGGTCACTCCATATTTCACATTGACACGGTGATAAAAAGTGTTAAAAAAAATTCTAAATAAAAAAGAAAGAAAAAGAAAAGAAAACAAAGGCAGGCAAGATGGCTCTCGCCACCAGCCTGAAGGCAGGAGTTCAGCTCCTGGAACCCACGTGGTGGAAGGAGAAACCTGGCTCCCACACGCCGTCCTCTGACCTCCACACATGCGCCCCCTCCACACACAAATAAAAACTAAATATAACACGAACAGAAGGAATCAAGGGCTGGTAAAGTGCTTGTCACAGGAGCAGGAAAAACTGTTTGGTGCCCAGCACCCAACTAAAAAGCTGGGTGTGGCAGTGTGCACCCATAATCCCAAATGGGGGGAAGGCAGAGAGCAATGGGACCCTGGAGCTCACCGGCCAGCCAGCATACCCAAACTGGTGAGTTCCCGGTCCCACGAGATACCCTGTCTGAAAAAATAAGGTGGAAATCGACAAAGAGAGACACTCAATGTTGACCTCTGACCTCCATTGTGCAGGTGCACACGGCTCTCACATCTCCACAGGCACACACACACACACACACACACACACACACCACGCGGTACACATGTAAGAATAAATACACAGGGCTGGAGAGATGCCTCCATGGTTAAGAGCACTGGCTGCTCTTGCAAAGGACCAAAGTTCGGTTCCCAGCACCCACACGGCAGCCCACAGTCATCTGTAACTCCTGTCCCAGGGGATTTGGTGCCCCCTTCTGGCCTGCAGGCACACATGCAGACAGAACACTATACATAATAAACAAATAAATCTTTGAAAAACCCAAGCTATTAACTACACAATGGTGGCAGAGGGGTGGCCTCCTGTTTACCGTGTTGGAGTCATAGTGTCTTACTCTGGACTGGAGGGCAGCTTGGTTGGTAAAATGCTTGCCTTGACGGGCGTGAGGGCCTGAGTTCAATCCCTAAGACCTGTGTAGAAAAAAGAGGGGGTGTGGTTGTGCATGCTTGTGACCCCAGTTGTGGGGGAGGCAGAGCCGAGCAGACCCCTGGGGCTAGCTGACCAGCTCGTCCATTTCCCATCCACTGAGAGACCCTATCCCCCAAAACAAAGACGGTGGCGGCGCCTGATGCCGTCCTCTGGCCTCACCGCGCAGCTGCAGGTGCACAGCCGCCCACAGCCAGAATTGCTTGACTTTCCCACGCTGGAAGAGCAATAGCTGCTCTGTGGAAATCCTACTTCAGATCTTGAACATGGGTTTTTTTCCTGGGCTGGTGGCGTGTGGAACCTACCGTCTCTGTAGCTCCCACAGGCAGACGCGTGGACACACAGAAAAATCATCAGACTAGATGAATAAAGAAAAGGGAAAAATGATCACCTGACCTTTCACAGCTGGCTGTGTGGTTGAACAGGAGTGGACTGTAGCTTAGATGGGTCAAATGCTGTGTGTGTTGTGTGTGTTGTGTTGTGTTGTGTGTGTGTTTGTGTGTTGTGTTGCTGGTGGCAAAACCCAAGCTTTGATCTTACTAAGCAAGCATCCTACCACTGAGTTACATCCCAGATGACTGCCCAGGTTAAATACAACTTTCATTTATGAGATGTACAATATACAATCGATTTATCTACCATCCATAAGCCCTAAGGAATACAGTATTCTCCTCCTCCCTGCATCCAGGGTGGGGCTTCCGGGGATCGGGATTTCTTTGGTAAGGGTCCCTCTCAGTGATCGGTGCTTCTGTCTGTCCTCTTAGACAGTCCCACAGTCTCTGCCACCGTGGAAGTGACTGTCAGAGTGACCAGCCAAAACTTCAGTAAAGAGCTAAATGACCAGGAATCCGATGAATTCAAGAAGTTCAATGAGACATTCTCAGAACAGGTAACCCCGGGAGACCACACAGCCCCATCCCACCCCCCCAACCACCCAGAGGAATCTGGAGGGAGGGGTTAAGATGGCAACTGAGTTGTCAAATGTGTGTGCTTCTCAGCTAGCCAGGACAGGTGGGGGGTGGGATGGGAAGCGAGACTTGCCTGGGAGCTGCAAGAAGGTACCGGAACCGGCCTGGTCTCTGGCGAGGGACTCTATATTTGATCTCCGGGTTGCTAGCAGTTGGGAGGAGGACTGGGGAGTACTGCTATCCCACAGAAAGTCCCCAAGGTGGGACTTCCAGGATGACACATTGGCCCCTTGCCTTTCAGATGGCGATAATTTATGCTGGAATTCCTGAGTATGCCGGGGTTTTCATCAAAGGGCTGAAGTGAGTACCCGGGTCTGGCAAGAAGAAGGTCTTTTGCGTGGGAACAACAGTCATGATTGCAGAGGCCAACTGGGGGGCTACCTGTGCTAGCCCACAGTGGGTGCTGCACGGGAATGCCAGCGGTTGTGGCTCGAACAACAGAAATCTCTACTACACCCACTGCTCTGGTGGCGGGAAGTCTGAGACCAAGGGTGGTGTCTTTTCCCTGGGTCCTTGGTGACTTTTTCTGGGTGCAAGTCTCAGCTATCTCTCTGTCACACATACATATTGTGTGTGTGTGTGTGTGTGTGTGTGCCTGCTCAGAGACACACACACGCCTCCATCTCTCTGTGTGTGAATAGACGTAGAAGCCAGAGGCCCACATCGAGTGTTCTCCCTCAATCTCTCTCTCCACCTTATTTTTAGTAACCAGGTCTCTCATTTAGCCAGGGGCTCCTCAATTCAGCTAGGCTCACAGGAGATCAAGCGATCCACCAGCCTCTGCTCTCCCTGGTGCCGGGGTTACAGATGTATGTCATGACAGCCAACTCTTACCTGAGCGCCTGAATTCTGTGTTTATCCATCAGAGACTTCATTACTAACTGAGCTATCTCTCCAGTGCTCGCTGATACATGTATGTGTATGTGCGTGTGTCTGTCTGTCTCTCTCAGTGTGTCTGTCTGTCTCTCTCAGTGTGTCTGTCTGTCTCTCTCAGTGTGTCTGTCTGTCTCTCTCATCTCCCTCTCTCCCTCTGTCTCTGTCTTTCCTGATAAAATCTTTCTCTGTACTCAAGGGTAGCTTGAGCTCACTACATAGCCCAGGTTAGCCCTGAGCTCCCAACCCTCTTGCCTGGAATTCCTCCCAGGAGTATAGAGGAGGCAAAGGTGAGCAGCAAGGGTGACCATAGGAGGATGCTCAAGGGTGCCACCTCCATCTCCCCAGGAACGGCAGTATCATTGTGGATTATGATGTCATCCTGAAGGCCCAGTACACCTTAAACTATACCAACATGTTTCAGGAAATCAAAAATGATGTGCAGAAAAAAATCATAAATGCAACCCAGGTTCAAGTAAGCGGTGCTGATAATAACTGTACAGGTAAGGCCCTCCTGGAGGGAAGGGCTCTCAGAGGGTGACTCCTTAATTCCCCTGACTTTTGACCCTGGGGCAGGTGAGGTTTAGGGAAGAAAGGCCAGTGGAGGTTGTGGGTCACTGGGATCTGTGCCCAGCTTGTCACTCCCGTCACACTGGGAGAAAGCCTTGGGTGGGAGGGCACGGAGCAGTGCAGAGATGGAGAATCCCTGCAGAGCGTCAACAGCAAGGGGATTTGGGACAGATGGGGCACCACATGACCGGCTGCACAGTGAGCTGTGTGTGGGATCCTGGCAGAGGGGCTGTGGACCCTCTGAGACCCTCTGAGCCACAGGACCCTGTGAGTGGGGCCCATCAGAGAGCTGAAAGCCTGGCAACCCCAACCCCACCCCACCCCTGCGATTTCCAGCTTCCACGCCTACTAGTTAAAGGGCTGTTGTCAAACCTGTCAGAAACAAGGCCAAAGTGGAAGGATGTTTTTGGTTCCCTGACTTGTGGGAATACAGCCTCCCCTGGATGGGCAGACAGCCCTGTGGTAGCAGATCAGACGCCTGCTGTCTGCTGTTCCTCATGAAGTCCTGGCCCGGCCTATGTGGTGGCATATGTCTTTATGAGCCACCATGTGGGTGCTGGGAATTGAACTCAGGACCTCTGGAAGTGCAGTCAGTGCTCTTAACCTCTGAGCCATCTCTCCAGCCCTGGCATATGTCTTTAAACACAGCCTTGGGGCCTCAGGCAGGCAGATCTCTGTGAGTTGGAGGCCAAGCCAGTCACATATTGAATTCCATGGTTATCCACAAAGTGAAACCCTGTCTTAAAAACAAAACAAAAAAGCCCTCAAAGCAGAAGGCTCCGGTGAAAGCAGAGTAGTCTACAGCCTTCTAGCCTGGCTCCTACTTTGACCCAGGGAAGCCGCGTGCCTGAAAGTTTCCACAGCCTCCCCAGACAGTGCCCAAACACAGGAGCCTAAGGGGAACACTTCACAGTGCACTGTCTCTCTCCTTCCCCTCTCCCGCCCGCCTCTGTGATAACGGGCAGCGGTATGTTTCCTCCACAGGGTTTATACTGTGTTTTAACGCACAAGACACTAAAGTGCAAGACATTAACATTTCAGATGTCGTCACTCCTCAAGGTAAGTAATGTGAGAGATTCTGGAAAAGGTTCGGGAAGGTAGAGGAGCTGGGCAGAAGGAGCTGGGCCTCTTGATTCTTAGCTGTTCTTCCATGTCCCCCGCAGAGGAATGCTGGGAGCAGGTTGAGGAAGAGTATAAGCAGTATGTCTTCGCGGAACAAAAGGACGAAAAGTGGAAGTGTGTCACGGCCTGCTCAACAGGGTACAAATCCTCCTTGGACTGCCACTATGGCAAATGCCAGCTGCAGCGGAGTGGCCCCCAGTGTCTGTGAGTACCGCACTTTGCCCGTGGGGTGGCTCCTCTCCTGGAGGCCAAGGTCATGGGATTATTATATATAACACGCTGCATCTCTTGAGAGTATGCGGTTGTGAAAGAATCAGGTTGCAGGGTTAAAGGGACATGCATGGCCAAGTCCAGAGTCGACAAAAGTGGGTCAGGAGAAGCTTCAAGACAGAATGAGCGGTGGACGCTCCAGCTTCAGGGTCCCAGTCTAGCAGAGAACACAGGGCTTCCTTTCCAGAGAAAGAACGTGCACCCCACATCCCGAGAGGTGTCTCAGTGGGTTAAAGGGCTTGCCACTAAGCCTGATAAGTTGAGTTCAATCTCCGGGATCCACATGGTAGAAGGAAAGAACCAACATTTGCAAGTTGCTCTCTGACCTCCACAGTATACACACACACACACACACACAAACATATACACACAGAGTAAATACATGTAATTTTATAATTTTTAAAAATGTCTCCTGCTATTGAAATAGATAAAGAAGGCTGTATGTGTCTCCATGGGACAGGGAGCCGGTACAGCCTACTCACAGCGTAGGAAAACCAGGAAGGGCATTGCAAACTGAACCCTGTGTGAGGTGGCGCATGTCTGTGATACCAGCACTTGGGAGGCAGAGGCTCCAGCAAGATCATGAGTTCAAAGTCAGTCTGGCTACCCTGAGAGGCTCTGTCTCAAAGCGGGGGACTAGGAAGGGTTAGGAAGATGGCTCAGTTGGTAAAGTGCTTGCCACGCAAGCATGAGGACCTGAGTTCGGATCCACAGCGCCCGTGTAAAAGCCAGGCATAGGCTAGAGAGATGTCTCGGAAGTCATGGGCGCTTGCTGTTCTCGAAGAGGACTTGGCTTCCACCTTGGCTCCCACTGTTAACTCCAGTTCTGGGGAATAAGATGCCATCTTCTGTTTTCTGTGGGTACTGCATGCACGAGGTACACAAGCTCCAAACCCGTCCATTAATTACGCTTTGCGGTGGCCATAAAACGCCATGACCAAAAGCAATTATGGGGGAGCGTTTATTTTGGTTTATGGTTCTGGGGGGGGATCTCGAATGGTGAGAGCCCATAATCCCCCAAAGCCCACTTTGAGACGTACTTCCTCTAGCGAGGCTCCACTTCTTAAAAGTCCCATACCCTCCCCAAACAGCACCACCAAATGCCCGCCAAATGTTCCAACACTGTGGGGGCCACTTTTCACTCAACCACTACAACCACGTAAAGACCCGGCCTCCAAAAACCAGGTAGGCAGGGCCCGAGGCTGGCCTCTGCCCCCACAGGCGCCAAGGTTCATCTCCTCAGAGCTCTCTCCAAACGTGCACCTCCCCTTGGGTACCCACGAGGCCGAGGCCGGAGCATGACTGACTCTTTCCTCTCTGCCCTCCTCCCACGGCAGCTGCCTGACCACTGACACTCACTGGTACAGCGGAGAGACTTGCGACTGGGGCATCCAGAAAAGCCTGGTCTACGGGCTCGTGGGAGCCGGGGTGGCCGTGCTGCTGGTGGTCCTCGTTATCCTGGCCGTGTTCTCCTTCCGCTACAGAAGAGAGGCGCAGAGGTAAGCGGCTGGCGCCCCCTTCCTTCGCCATCCTCATCCTCCTCTCTCCGGGATGTGGCTCATCCCAGCCGGCCAGGCCGTTGTCTCTACTCCGTAACCTTAACTGGGTCCCCTGGTGTTTCCCACCAACAGGCAAAGTTCCAGAGTGACTCAGATGCGAAAGTGGAATGAGGAGGAAGGCAGAACTCCTGGCGCCTTCAACAACATGGGTTTTGACCACAACGAAGGTACTGGCAATCTCTGCGGAGCTCAGACTCAGATAGGGTGGGAGACATAGGAGCCCCGAGAAAGGTACCCGCATCATTTGCCATCCCTGAACACTCGGTGCCGCCTCCAAAAGCTCACCTAGAGCCTGGGTGAGATACGACATGGTATTGTAGCAACACCCTAGGGGAAGCACGGAGCCAGTCGATGGTATACGTTTCTCTGGAACATAAAACTATGCCTATGGGGATATAGAGGAGAGACCAGGGGCAATCTGCCCATCACCAAGAGACTTACAACTCAGCAAAGAGGTTAGCAGTGTAGTTTGTTAAATGCAAACATTATAATTTCCAGAAACGGGACTAGGGATGTGAGTGGGGACTGGGTGGAGGGCTTGCTAGGAAGTCCTGGTTTTGATCTCCGGTACCACATAAATTTTGTGACCGTGTGCCTGTGTTACCCCAGCACAGAAGAGGGTCATCCCTCACTACGTTGTGAAGTTGAGGCCAGCCTGAGACACATGAGATCCTGTCTCAGAAAGCAAACAATGACAGGCCTGGTAGTGGACACCTTTAATTCTGGCCCTCGGGGGGCCGAAGGAAGTGGACCTGTGAATCAAAGCCAGTCTTGTCTACATCAGTCTTGAGACACAGTCTCTCCCTATATTCCATAGTACCCTCAAACTTGTCATCCTCCTGCCTCTGCCTCTTGAGTCCTGTTATTACAGGCACGCACCCCCCCACACACACACACACCCGACTGTAGCTTTAAAATGATTACTTCAGGGAGCTATTGGGGAGCAACTGATTCAAGCAGTCTACCACACTCCCATTGGCTTTTGTTTCCTGCGTATGGGGCGAACACCCTCCCCATCATTGGGGCTCAAGGAACTTATGATTGCTTGTCTTTCTAACCCCGTCTTCTTGGGCTTCCTCCTCCCTTAGAACGAGAAGACTACATCAACTTGGGCTCTGTGTACAGCAACTTTGATGCCTTGCGTAATATAAACCCTGACGAAAAGGTAAGAATGACCCGGGTGAACCACCCACCTCCGGTGCCCTAAGCCCTCCATCGTCCCTTCTACCTGGTAGGACCCCCACCCCTAACCCACTTCTGTTCCTCTTTTCAGATCCAGATCCAGAGGCCCCAGGTCGTCATGACGTCACTGTAAACACGCACAGAAGCGGGTTCGCATGGAACCATGGAGCTGAGGACTGAGGAGAGCCGCACCGGGTCAAGCATGTCGGAACACGTCCTCCACTGAGAATTCCCCACGGGGACTTGTTGGGCAATAGACCCTGTAGTTAGAAAGAGTGAACACCGGAGAGACGCATGCTGGAAGCTCCAACAGTGTGGAAACTACAGCGGAACTACAGCCAGAACTACAGCCGGTGCCTCCCAGACAGGCGGTGCCTCCCAGAACACCTAAGTCCGATTCAGCACCAAGGACAGTGCCCCGGGTGCCCTTTCCTGCGATGATTGAGTAGACACTGGACTGAATTTTACCATTTTCAAACACTCTTCTGAGAAAGATGGCATTCCGTTTCCATCTGTCTTTACAAGGTCATGCTTAGCTTTAAGTTTCTTTCTAAGATCGGGTAAAATTAAGGCTTTTTGGTGAATTCTAATTTTTCCTATGTAAATAAAATTATATAATTTTTTAAGATTTATCTTGTTTTTAATTATGTGTATGTGTATCTGTATTGTGTGAACATGTGTGCAATGGCCGGTGATGGCCAGAAGAGGGCACCAGATCCTCTGGGCTGGAGAAACAGGCTATTGTGAGCCTGTATTTGGTACTGAGAAGTGAACTCTTAACCATCGCTCTAACCCCCATATTCGCTTATAAATAACTAAAAGCAGCCAAAGCAAATTGGTTGCAAGTTTTGCAGATTCTAGAACTTTCTCTACTTGTCACATTATACTGGTTCCTGAGCCACATCTCCTGGGCTCTCTGTCTTCCTCTTCCCTCCAGAATGTAATTCAGCCCTCAGTCCCAAGAGAGGGAATATCTTCACCCAAGAAAGGAGCCGCCCCCAGCTTCACTTGCTGATCTCTGGAGAATGCCATGACTCAGGACCACATTTGTTCACACACACAAGGCAGAAAGAGAATCAAGCTCTTTAGGGGCTGGAGAGATTTCTCTGTGGATAAAAACACTTTTGGGGCAAGGATAAAGACCTGAGTTCAAATCCCCAGAAGCCAAGTTAAAAGGCAGAAAACTGGCAAGGTAGTTCAATGGGTAGAGGTGCTTTTTGTCATGCCAGACCTGATAGAAAGAGAATCAACTCCCACAAATTGTCCTCTGATCTTCACATATGTACCGTGACACATGTGTGCACACACATGCACACATATACATGCACAAAAGAAGTAATTAAAGGGCCAGGCAGTGGTGGCACACACCTTTAATCCCAGACTCGGGAGGTAGAGGCAGGCAGATCTCTGCGAGTTCAAGGCCAGCCTGGACTACAGAGTGAGTTCCTGGACAGCCAGGGCTACACAGAGAAACTCTGTCTTGAAAAAAACAAACAAAAAAGTGATGTTTTTAAAAGCTATGCTTGCCAGGTGTGGTGGCTCACACCTTCAGTCCTAGCTCTCGGGAAAGAGAGGCAGGTGGATCTCTGTGAGTTCAAGACCAGCCTGGCGATCTACAGAGTAAGTTCCAGGCTAGTCAGAGTCACATGATGTGACCCTGTCTCAAAAATATAAAAGTAAAATAAAAATAAAAAACCAAAGAGTTGTGCATGGTTACCCACACAGGTCTGTAACCCCAGCTGCCAGCCTCACTGCAGATCCAGGGACCCAGCTGAAGGAAATCAGAGTGACAGAGCAGGACACCTGACTTTCTCTCTGGTCTCCATGTGTGACCCACATGAGACACAGGCAGACATATACACGTGCACCCAGGCACACACATGCAAACACACAGAGGCACATGCAAACATGCACAGGCACACATGCACACAAAAGACACACATGCATAGTCACGCATGCACACATGCACACGGAGGCACACAAACACAAGCACAGAGATACACATGCACACGCACAGAGACACACAGACACACATGCACAGAGACACACATGCACGGGCACAGGGACACACATGCACAGGCACACAGGCACACACGCACATGCATAGAGACACATGTGCACACACACTGTATATACACACAATAATAGTAAATTTAAGAAAATAACCAAGTCCCCGCTTTCCTCTAGAACAAAATTCATGCTCTTTGCAGAGTCCCTGAGAGATGGGTGTCCTGGGCTCTATTTCCAGCCCCAGCTCTCTCACCAGCTCTGGGGGAAATCATGTGACCATTCGGACCCAGCCCAGATCATTCCTCGGGTCCACTTCACTCCTACAAGTCTGAATATTTTGGAGATGTCTTGTTTTACATCTGTTTGTGTGTGCTCCGAGGGGCACACACAGCTGCACGCTACTGCACACGTGGGGAGGTCAGAGGGCAACTTGTGGGAGTTTGTTCTCGCCTTCCCCCGTGTGGGTCAGGGCACGGGGCTCGTCAGCAAGTGCCTTTATCTGCAGAGACATCCTTGCTGGCCTGGCCTGTCGGGGGTCGGTTTTCAGTGTGTGCATGAGAGCCTAGTCACACGTGTGCCACAGAGAACGTGAGGACAACCTCTGGCGTCCTCCGACTTCCTTTCCACAGGTTTGAAACAAGGTATCTTCTTGTTCCGTGCTGCCTGTGCCGGGGGAGCTGAGCCACCAACGTCCAGGCATTCTCCTGCCTCGGTGCCTATCTCCCACAGGAACACTGGGGTTACAGGTGTGTGCTACCGGCCCATCTATACATAATTCTGTGTAATTTAGCTCAGGTCTTCACATTTGCACAGCAAGCACTTTGCCCTCGGATCCCTCCCTCCAAACCTTGGGAATGGTTTTGTTTTACTTTATTTATTTATTTAGTTTTAACTTCATGTGCATTGGTATTTTGCTGGCATGTATGTTTGTGCGAGGGTGTCGGATGCCCTGGAATTGAAGTTACAGACAGCTGTGAGCGGTCATGTGAGGTCATGTGAATGCTGGGCTATTGAACCCGGGTTCTCTGGAAGAGCTGCCGGGGCTCTTAACCGTGGAGCCACCTCTCCAGCCCCCTTATTTATTTGTTTGTTTGTTTGTTTTTGAGACAGAGTCTCACTATGTAGCCCTGGTGGGCCTGGAATTTGCTATGTAGGTCAGGCTGGCCTCTAATTTACAGAAATCCACCTGCCTCCTGAGTGCTGGGATTAAAGGCGTGGCGCGGCAAGAAAGGGGCCTTCATTTCTTATGCTTCCGGTCCATTCTGCCCTTCCAAGGCCTCCCACTTCAAGCCACCCTAAATCTAAAACAGAGCCTGGACTCTGCCGCCCCCTCGTGGGAATGCTGAGCACCTGCAGGCGTTGGTCAGTTTCTCGGCCATTCCCTTAGAAAAGCTGCCACCTACATGGTTCATTTTTTCATTTACCCTCAAAATCCTTTGCTCGCTATATCTAGATGCCTTCACTTTAAGAATTACCTCCCACGGAGATGGTGAGATGGACCCACTGGTGAAGGCAGGCGCTGCATAGCCGGCCGACTTGAGTTTGATCCCTGGGATCCACAGGGTAGGGGAGAACCAGCTCCTGCGAGTTGTCTTTGACCTTGTTTGCCAGGGCAGCTGAGCTCGAGGCACACACGCACACCCCTGCAATACAGGCACACATTTACATAAGAAAAACAAATGATTTGTTTGTTTGTTGAGACAGGGTTTCTCTGTGTAGCCTTTGCCATCCTGGAACTCGCTCTGTAGACCAGGCTGGCCTCAGATTCACGGCGATCTGCCTACCTTTTGCTTCCCAAGTGCTGGGATTCAAGGGGTTTGCCATGACTACCTGGCCAAAAACTTCAATTTTTGGGGGGAGGAAGAAAGAAAGGGATTTTCTCTCATGAGTCTGCACATCCCTGAAACAGAGGGACCAGGCTGATCTCCCCTTGAGATGCAGTTGAGGCTAACCTTGAACTTCTGATCCTCCTGCCTCTACCTCCTGAGTGCTGAGATTACAGGCATGGACCACCACCCCAAAAGGAGGGCTTTCCCAGGACCGTCGACTTTGCCTCCCATTATCCACGCCAGCACCTTTTCCTGCCTGCTTCCATCTGCTCAGTGAGGTGGACCCCATCCCAACAGCAGTCAGGCAGCCACTGGCCGGCTCCCACCCTCCCAGCCACCTGGGTAAAGGTGCCGGCCTCGTCCTCCTCCCATCCCTGTTGTCTCACTTGTAGAAGCGGAGGGGCCAGGACCAGCAAGATGGCTCCGTGGGTAAAGGCGCTGGCCAAACCTGACGACCTGAGTTCAATTCCTGAGACCCGCGTGGTGGGAGGCAACTACTGCCCCCGTTAAGCTGTTGTTTGACCTCTACACACGTGCCAAGACATGCGTTCAAAAATTAATTAATTAAATGTGAACTATGGGTGACCATTATCTCATAAATGAGGACATCGGAGGCAAAGACCGGTAATTTGCCCAGAGAACTAAAGGGATAACTAAGCAGACTTGACAGGCGGAGGCAAGAGGGTCAGAAGTTCAAGACCAGTCTGGGCACCATAGCGGGCTCCTGTCTCTGAGAATTAAACAATGCCAGCAAACAGAAAGGCTCCTACTAAAATAGGGCGAACCTCTAATTTAAAAGGTATTCTTACCAAAGGGGGGGAAAGTGTTTGGAAGCAGAGACATGCATGGCGAGGGGGTGCCTGCTAAGAATGGGGAGACTCGATGGGGGGAAGGTGGGGAGTCCATAAGAGATGGACAGCAAGATGAAGCTTATGTAGGTGTTTGCTTGTTTGCATCCCCTGTACTGGGGGTTGAAACTAGGGTCTCGCGTACGCTGAGCACTTTCATCACTGAGAAAAACCCTCATGCTGTCCCTGAGGGATTCCAGGCAGGGGCTATACCACTGAGCCACACCCCGAGGTCTCACTAAACAGCCAGGCTGGCCTTGTACTTCCTTCCACCCTCTGGCCCCCAGCCTCCCAGGTACTCTGAGCCCAGCAGGCCTGCGGCATCAAACCTTCTTGAGTCTTTCATGCTGCCAGCTCCAGCTGTAAGCCGACACACAGGGAGGAGCCGTCAGGCACACCCCAGCTCTGCCCACAGCCTTCCCCCAGCTCCAGCTTCCTTAGCAAGTGCACCAGAGCCCAGGAATGCCCAGCCCGTGGCCTGGAAACTGCTCTGTGCTCCCTCGCTCCCTCCCTGTCCGTTAGGAGTCTGCTCCTCCGCACAACCTCTTGTTCTTTGCGTCTGGGGGTGGGGCAGAGGGAGAAGCAGTCCTGTCTATGTACTCCAACTGGCGCAGAGCTCACTGTTAGCCCAGGCGGGTCTGGGACTTTGAGTGATGCCCCTGCTTCATCCTTCTAAGTGCAGGTGAGTGTGCCTCCACGCCCAGTCCTCCAGCTGCTCTTGACCTCAGGAAACCTCTGGGGCTTCCACCTCCAGGCTAGCTAGCTAGATTGGCTTCCCACCCCCACCCCACTTTGGCTCCACTTCCCTCCCTCCCTCTGGCTCCCTCCAGGAGGCACAAACCTAATCAGACTGATTATCGCCAAGTTCAATTCCACTTTCTCTGGCTCCAACACAGGCAGTAAATTTCCTTCGCTGTTGGGCTCCCCTGTGAGACCAGCCTCC